ACAGTCGCTCTTTTGGCTCTACGGCTTGTTTTGGCTGAGCAAGAGCTAAAAAGCCGGAAATATTATTGCAAATTTCTGTCAGAAATTGGTATTCCGACTTTTTAGCCATTAATTCAAAGCTCGCATGATAAAAGCAAGTATAAGGGTTTTAAGTTGCGGTATTTAGCTGCACAAAACAGTCATTGCTTTAGCTATGCGGCTTTTTTTGACAAAGTTAGAGCTAAGCAACGGCAGCAAGGCCATGCTCTCTACTGTCAAAAGACGTAGCATAACTTTGGGCACAAAAATTCAGTTTTTCAGCCATAGCACAGCCAAAACTGGGCCAAATGAGGAATGTGATACCTCGTAGGGCTCGTAACTTGATTGCCATGATTCCCAAATGGTTTGCATTCAAATCTGGGAAACTTCATTTCGGGCCCATTTTTGAAAATTTTGATGATGGTACCCCTTATCAAAAATGCGAAATTGGGGCCAAAATCGATTTTCTCAAAATCGAAAATCGAGTGATAGGGGTACTTAGTGCTGGTCGTAAGCTGCACAAAACAGTCGCTCTTTTGGCTCTACGGCTTGTTTTGGCTGAGCAAGAGCTAAAAAGCCGGAAATATTATTGCAAATTTCTGTCAGAAATAGGTATTTCGTTTTTTTAGCCATTAATTCAGAGCTCGCACAGAAAAACCAGAACAATATTGATAAAAGCAAGTATAGGGGTTTTAAGTTGCGGTATTTAGCTGCACAAAACAGTCATTGTTTTAGCTATGCGGCTTTTTTGACAAAGTTAGAGCTAAGCAACGGCAGCAAGGCCATGCTCTCTGCTGTCAAAAGACGTAGCATAACTTTGGGCACAAAAATTCAGTTTTTCAGCCATAGCACAGCCAAAACTGGGCCAAATGAGGAATGTGATACCTCGTAGGGTTCGTAACTTGATTGCCTTGATTCCCAATTGGTTGGCATTCAAATCTGGGAAACTTCATTTTGGGCCCATTTTTGAAAATTTTGATGATGGTACCCCTTATCAAAAATGCGAAATTGGGGCCAAAATCGATTTTCTCAAAATCGAAAATCGAGTGATAGGGGTACTTAGTGTTGGTCGTAAGCTGCACAAAACAGTCGCTCTTTTGGCTCTACGGCTTGTTTTGGCTGAGCAAGAGCTAAAAAGCCGGAAATATTATTGCAAATTTCTGTCAGAAATTGGTATTCCGACTTTTTAGCCATTAATTCAAAGCTCGCATGATAAAAGCAAGTATAAGGGTTTTAAGTTTTGAGGGCCTCCTGTATAAAATCAAGGAACTTCTCCCTGCTCCCTACTTCGTCATCCTGAGGTCCTTTCTTGCCGATCGAACCTTTGTAGTAGCAGTAAGGGACGCAAGATCCAGCTTGGCTCACATCCACGCAGGAGTGCCCCAAGGAAGTGTGCTTGGTCCATTTCTTTACACCATATACACAAGTGACATGCCAGTTCCGTCGCCCACTACAGACGCCCGTATGCTTTTGGCTACATATGCTGACGACACGGCGTTGCTTGCGTCCCACACATCTCAGCTGACGGCTTCGGCTGCAGTTCAGGACTGGCTGCGTGCGATGGAGCGCTGGACCAAGCAATGGAATATAGCCATAAACTGCAGCAAGTCGGCAAGCGTAACATTTACACTAAGGCTTACGATCGACATCGTCTTAAATTTTAACGGAGACACCATCCGGAACGCCACATCGCAGTGCTACTTGGGTGTACACCTAGACCAGCGGCTCATATGGAACACCCACATCACGGCAATCAGAGCTAAGTGCGACCGCAAACTTAAGAAGCTCGATTGGCTCCTGAGCGCGAAAAGTCTCCAGCTTTCGACAAAGGTTCTGATAATAAATGCAATTCTCACGCCAACCTGGACGTATGCGATACAAGTTTGGGGCACCGCGTCTAAGCACCAGCTAAACAGGCTGAGGGTAGTTCAGGCACGAGCTGCTAGACGGGCTTCCGGGCTTCCGTGGTAGGTAACCAACCAGGCCATCCAGAACGACTTACGGCTTGTTCCCGTGGGCGATCTCTTAAACCAACACAGCAGCCGATACTCGGACAGGCTAATAGGTCACCCAAATCCTCTGGCTAGCAGGCTTGCCGACCCGCAATCTACTAGAAGACTTAGTAGATTCCACCCCAGCGACTTGCCATCCCGCTTAATTTCTTAAACTTTTAATATTTTGTAAATAGTTTTATTTTAGTTTTGTAAATATTTGTACATATACCCTAGGTACACCCATAGTACCATAACTAATTTCCTGATAAACGCCCGGTTATGTTCAAATGCCTGAACGATTCCGGCGAAATAAAAATGTAAATATGTAAAAAAAAAAAAAAAAAAAAAAAAAAAAAAAAAAATATAGCCAGATTTTGAAAATTTAGAAATAAGCATCACCAAACCTTTGCGTTTTTGAGATACATATAGAAACCTACGTTTTCCGTCTGCCGTCTGGTAAGTTCTCTCACCCCGCCAGGAATTAACTTACCATCCGTTTGATGTCCGTTTGCAACCACCGAAGAGCAGAAGGCTCGACTTGTTCGACAGCGAGGTTCGAAATGGCCAGTTGGTGGGTGGTGTTTTTGTTGGGGGTAGAGCGTCTCTGCCGCAGTTGACGGCGACAGCGACAGCGCTGTCGGCGTGGCATGTGTGAGGTTCGGTTCGGTTTAGCTTGGTTTCGGTTTCAGATGCCAGATGCCAATTGAAGTTTTCGCACATGACAATTGGGGCGGCCAGTGGCGTTTGGATTGGTCACTGGCTGGTCGAGTGGTCACAAGGTGGTGGAGCAGCGGACGCCGGAGGGTGACCAATGGAGGTAGCTCACTAGTGCACTCTCTTTTCTTCTGTCGCTCTTTCTCTTTCTCCCCTTTTCCACATGTTTCGGCAAAATGAATGCAAGGGCGACACCTGGTGTTTGGTATCGCCACCACATCAATAAAGGCATCCGTTTTTCGTCTCACGATCGTTTTCGGTTCTGGGTTTATGGTTGCCTACTCTTAGGCTGCTGCGTCGGTTGCTATAAAATTCCTTTATGGCAAATAAAAGTCGCTTGCTGGCTGGCTTACAGTTTTTCAATTGTATTTTTATATTTTTTGTATTTTCGTAACACAGACAACTATCTTTTAAATATTAATTTTTAAATTTGTGGTTTTTTGTTTTACTTTTCGTATTTTCGTTATTGTTACTTTCAAAAAATTACACACATTTGAAAAATATTTTTTGTTTTTTCGGTTTTATTTGTTTTTTGTTTTTCTGAATTCGCCTTTCTTTGCTATTGCTCTCGGACAAATGAGACAATGTCCTGGTTTACTTTTTTTGTTTTTTAGTATAAAGTTTTTCTTTCGTTTTTATAGCTACAATTAATTTTCTAAGATTTAATGATAGTTTTAGTTTGCTTCGTTTCGTTTCGGTTTCCATTCGCCTCTGCTCTGCTGCTTTTGTTGGAAGAAATAAATATTGTTAATTGGTAACCAAAAAATTTGCCAAATAATATATAACTCGTGTGATGGATTTTTTAATTTTCATAAATTTTTGTTTATTCAGTTTTTGCTTTATATGTATGTTTTATATATGTATGTGAAACACAATGCATTAAAACCTCATTCTTAAATTTAGTACTTGTCGAATTTCATAAATTATGCACGATAAACTTCGTCGATAAAAAACTGGGGAAATCGCCCGTATTAAGGCAATTGCCTTGGTAATTAACTGCTTTAGTAGGGGGATTTCCCGATTTCCAGGTGGGTTTTTTTAAGGGGACTCAAAACAAAACAAGGTGTAAACTAATGTTGCGCCTTTGAATTTTGCTCATAAAAATGGTATTTTTACTACAAAAACAAACAATATTTAATTATTAAAAATTTTGGATCTCAATCTTTTGTTTTAGTTTCAATCAAATAACGAAAATCAACAGCAAAAAAACAATTCTTAAAAAAATGTACTCGTTCGTGTCCTTCCTTTCTTCGTCCTTTTCATTGTCCGCTTTCCTGCCTTCTATCGTCTTTTTTATCCTTCTGTCTTTTTTTGTTTTTTTTTTTGTTTGTTTGTTTGTTTGGAGCAAGAAAACAATTTTCGTTCTCAGTTCTTCAGTCTTCTAAATCTAGTTTTTTGTCGTTTTGTTTGTTTGTTTGTTGTTGTTGTTTCGGTATTTTCTCGTTAATTGCTTTCTTACGTTTTCTTATATTTCACTTGAAGTTTTACGTACAAATTTGCATCTTCGTCTTCGTTTTTTTTTTTCAATTTGCATTCTGCCTCAATTTTTATGCATGCTTTTCCATTTCAGCTTAGACTAAAATTGTTTAAAAAAAATTTGTGTTTTACATTTATATTTATTTATGTATGTAAAAAAATTTGATTATTTTTCGTTTTTTGTTTTAATTTAAATTACATTTAATAATAGAATTATGTCTAGGCAAAAAAAAAAAAGGAAAGGAGAAGGTGATGGGGAAGAGGAAAGGAAATAAATCAATGGGAAAATCGAATACATATATACGATAATCATAATTAGAATTAGAGTAAGAGGATTTTTACAAGTGTTCGTCTTTAGTGCTAGGGATCTAGATTTTCTAAAAAATGTACATCGATGAAAAAAATATTCATTCACTCGCCCCATATCGATAATATGGTATATATATATTCATATAGTAATGCATTTAAGTTTAGAGTATAATTTTGCTTATTTTTGTGGCTCACTGGGGAGCAGAATTTTTCATATTTTTTTGTTTGTTTGTTTGTTTTGTTTTACGTTTAGTTGTAGTAGGTTTCTTTATCAATTTTTACAAATCCTTTTCGGTTTTTTTTTTCTTCCCTTACTTAGTCCTAGAAAATACACTGGAAAACGTGTGTCCACACAATTACTCTCTAAGCGATTATATTATTACATTTACGTATATTTTTATACTATATTTATATATATATATATATATATATATAGATATTTATATATATGTATAAATTACAAGCATGAAAAAAAGTTGGAAAAAAATGTGTTGTTTGTGTGTGTTTTTGTTTCAATAAAAAAAAAAAAAGTTCGAATCTTTAAAATTATATTACATAACGGTTATTGCTTTGGTATTAAATGCCTCTGGTCGTTTTTTTTTCGTCGCCTGGAAGGAGCTGGATGGGGTTCTTTTTTCAAAAAAGTCATATTTACAAAGGGGGCCTTGGTTTTTTTTTGTTGTTTTTGTTTCTTTTTTGACACCTTTAGAAGATGCGCGACATTATGCGACTGCGACTGGTCTGCTGCTGCTGCTGCTGCTGTTGCTGCGGCTGCGGCTGCTGATGCTGATGCGGTTGCTGCTGCAGTGGCGGTGGTGGCGCCAGCGGCACGGGAAAACCACTGAAAAGTCATGCCTCCTCCTTAAGCGATATGGGATGGATGCCGGTCATGCTAGAGGAGGCATTGGAGTCATTATCGCCACTCACGCTGCCCGGCAGTGAGAGATTGTGACCGCTGACGAACTGCGGTGGATAGCCAACAACACCCATCGGCGACAGTTGTTGTTGCTGCTGCTGGGACTGTTGTACCGCTTGCGCTTGTACCGCCTGAGCCTGTACCGCTTGCGCCTGCTGGGCAGCAGCCTGGATATGCTGGGCGGCAGCCTGGGCAGCCTGAGCGGCCGCCACTGCATTCGCAGCTGCCGCCGCCTTACCCTGATTGACCACACACTTGCGCATATGCTTCTCTAGCGTCGAGGGAACACTGAAGGGCATGTCACAGAAACGGCAACGGTACACATCCTTGCCAGTTCGTCCATGGGTCTTCATGTGACGCGTCAGCTTGGAGCTCTGGGCGCAGGCGTAGGAGCAGAGTTCACACTTGTAAGGCTTTTCGCCGGTGTGACTTCTTCGGTGAACCGTAAGATTCGAACAGTTCTTGAACACCTTGCCGCAGAATTCGCAGGTGTCGTTGCGCTGGCGACTCTCCTTCTTGAGCAGCGGTCCTTGGATCAGCGAGTTGGCACCTCCCAAGCCCAGAGGCTTCAGCTTGAGGTTCTCAAACAATGCCTCATTACGGTGGAGTGCTTGTGACATTCCCCACCAATCGCCACCGTCCATCTTCATGCGCTTACTCAGTTCGAAGGGATTGGGGAAGGGATTGAATAGTGGGACCTGCGAGGGTGCACCACCATCCTGAGGCTGCTGGAACATGTTGCAGTTCTTCGCAAACTCATCCCTTAGGCGTAGTGCGGCCACGGGCAGACCATTTAGCTTGTCACCCAAAGGAGCACCAGCTCCCCGATTATTATTGTCCGCTGCTGCAGCAGCTGCTGCGGCGGCGGCGGCTGCCTCCTTGCGTCCAGATTCCTGCAGTGCCTGCTTATAGGCCTCACTGTACTGGGCAATGTTGGACAGACCGAACTTATCCATCAGTTCACCCACCAGCGAAGTAGCTCCCGAGCTTGTTGTCTTAGGACTCTGGCTTTTGCCGTCGATGCGATTGCTCACACTGAGATCCTCCGCCTTGTAGTCCATATCTTCGCACTCCTCCAGCTCATCCTCGTCCTCATCCTCACCATCGAGATCACCATCGCCATCAGGATCGTTATCGCCATCGCCCAACTCCTCTTCCGACTCATCAGGATTGGGATCCTCGTCGTTGTCGGCCTCATTGGTTTCCAGCGAATCGGCATTGCTGCCATCGTCCTGATTGTCCTGGTTATCCTGCTCATCCGCCGGACTGCGGTGCACTCGCATGTGCTTCATCAGCTTCTGGATGTGCGAGCACTCAAAATCGCAGGCTGTGCACTTGTAGGGCTTCTCACCAGTGTGTGTTCTCTGGTGAATGATCAGGTTGTTCTCGAATCGGAACTTCTTGTCACAGTAACTGCAAGCGAAGCAATTTGCCGGTTCCTGCAACAGCACATCGCCCGTTTTCGATGGTGGTGTGCTCGCCGAACGTGGTGTGCTGGCCAGGATTAAGCCCAAGCTGCCATTTTCGGAGCTACCATCACCCAGTTTCTCTGGGGGTGTTAGAGAATGGGGTCGCGGGATTGTTGCCAGTTGCTGTTGCTGCTGCTGTTGCTGCTGCGAGGGCGATGGGCTCGCGAAATGCGGCGATTGCTTCTGTCGAGGACTCGGCGAGCTCGAGTTAACAGTGCTGCCAGCTCCAGGGCTTGTTGTGCCCGCAAGCTGACGCAATCGCTGCGAGTAAAAATCCATCTGCTGTGGTTCCAGCTTCAGGGATCCACCAGCTCCTCCAACCAGACCGGTAGTGATCTGCTGTTGCTGTTGGGATTGCTGCACCGATTGCTGTTGCTGTTGTGCTGTCTGATGTTGCTGCTGTGCAGCCTGTTGCTGTTGCTGCTGTTGCACAGCTTGTTGTTGCTGTTGCTGCTGCTGTTGTTGCTGCTGAGAGCTGAGAGATGGTGGCGGCAGTGCAGCCGGAGGTACCGAGCCCCTTTGGCTGCTACTGCTACTAGAAGACGGGGGACGTTGCTCACCCGATCCAGGGACGACTCCACCCACAACCTGACCATTGGCATTGAATTGGGCCTGAGCAGCGGCAGCGGCGGCAGCCAGATTAAAGCCATGGTGGCGGAACTGCTCGCTGACCAGCTGCTCCATGCGGTAGTGATCGGCGGGCGAGGGGCGTCCAAAGAGTGGCGCCACGGTAGGAACTACATTTCCGGCCTGGGCCAAAGCTGGTGGTAGTGGCATTCGCAGCAGCTGGAAGGGATTGGCATGCATCGCCTCTGGCGGCGGCAGCAATGGATGATGACGCATGCCAGCGGCCATGGCCGAAGCCAGATTCTCTCGCTGTTGCTGCTGTACGCGTTGCTGTTGCTGCTGTGCCTGCTGTTGTTGCTGTTGCAGCTGCAACTGTTGCTGCTGCTGCTGTTGCGGTGAGCCAATGCTGCTGCTGTTGCTAATGCTGCCACCGCTGGTATTCACCAGCGAATTGGAGCAAACTGAGCTAACCGATGTGGACAGAATGGCCGTACCGGCTGCCACCGGACTGCTTCTCTTGCCCGCCGTCGTTGCTGTGGGATTTGGGCTAACCGCTGGCTGTGGACTTGCCAAGCCAGAAGCGGAAGCTGCAGCGGCGGCAGCGGCAGCCAAGGCCAGAGCACTGTTGTTAAGGGCAGCGGGTGTGGCCACTGTTAAAGTGGCACCACCACCGGGACTCTCCACATAGATTTTCACTCCATGCGAATGCTGGACGTGCTGGATGAGGCGCCAAGCGGAGGTGTAGCGGGTTTTGCACGTGGAGCATGTGTAGTTGCTGGGTTCTGGAAGAGAAGAGAGTGGAATATTGATTTTAGTATATCGTTAAAAGAAAGAAAATTATTATTATGATTAATTAACACACTTTTCCCCCCTCTAAACAAACAAGCATTTGCAACTATTAAAGTAACAATTTAATCTTTAAATTGCATTACCAGCTTAGCTAGCAAATTTTGGCGGTGTAAATTCTGGTTGCCTGGCAATTTTCGTTATTAATTATTAATGAGCATTTTGCGGAGGCGCGGATCCTAGCCAGTATTTATTTATTTATTGATTTTGCAGAGCGGTTGGCATGCCAAAATGCGCCAGGACACGCATGAAACTCCGGACTCGGACGGAGATTGCCAATATAGCGAAGGATATTGGCCCATGCAAAATCACAAACACACAAGCAAACACACATGTGTGTCGTTTAGTTTGTTGCGGTTTTGTCGCGACATTTGTTAATTTGCCATGGCGGAAATGGCAGCCCTAAAAACCACCCACCGAATGTCCTGCGTCCTGCGTCCTGTTTGCCATGTCCCATGGTCCTGCGACACATGTGCCGCCCCGCGCAACAGATGTAAAATTGGAAAATTTATGAAAAATGTGCAGAAGAAGAGACTTTTCCTGTTCGGTTTTTTCGTTTTTCGATATGTTTCTCTTTTTTGCGTCACCACTAAAAACCGAAAATTTTCTAATAAATAAAAATTGAAAGCCAAGGCAAAGAAGGAGGCAAGGATCTGGCCACATGTCGCCACCGAGGACAACAAGGTGTTAATGTCATCGAAACTATGGCGAACGAACTACCCCCGAGATGAGGACGCACTCTGCATTTAAATGACGCCTTTAAAACGCACGAAATGAAAATTTCCCGAAAATTATCCATAAAAATGAATGGAAATGGAAAGGCACGAGACAGGACACGCATTCTCCACACTTTTCCTTTTTTTTTTTTCTCTCTTTTTTATTTTTTTATGTGAATCTACATTAAACTTGTGCTGGCTGGCCAAAAAGAGGGAAGGGGAAGGGGAGTAAAACTGAAACAGCTTCCTGGCGCTGTCAAAGGTGAGTCGTGTTTAACATGATTTCATCGCGCGACCCCTTTGGCAGCGGGGTTTTGGGTTCACGTTCGGGATCAGGATCGAGATCCTGAGATCAGGGATCGCTGGCCCGCATGCCACAGGAAATGCAAATGAATCTGACAGATAATACGTTTTCAATGCCTCATCCCTTTCCCTTTTCCCTTTCCCTTTACTACTTTTTTACAGAAAACACACAAGAAGCAACCCTTGAATCCTGCACGCGGAAAGGGTTGTACGATCGAGAAAAAAAAGAGGTAAAAGTTGTCGAAAAACATCGGGCATTATTTGTCTGATCCTTGATCACACAGCTCGCGATGCGCACGCGCTTCAAAATAATTATTAAGATAGAAAAAAAAAAAACACAACAAGGAAGAGGTAAAACACAAAAGGCGCGGGCTTGGCACGTTCTGATTCTGTCAGCTGTCGAATGCGGGAAGATCCGGCACGGAAAATAAATTTAAATATTATTGGGACTTCTCCAAAAAAAATAAAAAGGGACTCATTAATAGACTTTTTTTTTAGGGAATTAGGAATTAGGAAAATGGTTATTAGGCTGCAGAATATTCACAACAAAAAGATATTCATGTCATGTAGCAAAACTTACTTTCAGCTGCTCTTTAAAAATACTAAAAAAAAAGGAAAGGGTTTTCCCTTTAAAGCGTTTAAAACTTGAAAAGAAAACTTGAAGCTGCATGAAAATAGGTTTCCCTAATTTAATAATTTTCCATTTTATGTAAATATCCAAAATTTTCATCATTTTTTTTGTATACATTTTTTTCCTCTCTGCACTTTGATTTCTTTCTGTGAAAGACAAAAGGCGGATGTGCTGTCACCGGAAATGGCAAATTGACCGCCAGGAAGTGCAGTCGTCACACAGTGCGTATGAGAGATTTTAGCCAGCGGGTGGGCGGTAAAACACACACACAAAAGGGTTGTGTGCGCGTAATGGGATAATTGTTGCAGCTTCGCCAACTGTCAACATCCTAAGCCAAAAAAGTCTATGTCTGTCCTGTGTGTGTATCCTTTTTCCGGGCATTTTTTGCACTGCACAAAGGACAAAGGGAAAAGGGGACACCACCCGGCGACATCTAATCCTTTGCAGGACGTGGACTGGCATGAACCAAAGGCATTAGCCATTGATTTCGACCATTCGACCATTCGCTTTGAGGTTTTTACACTCGTTTCTCGTTTCTTTTTATTCTGGCTTAGTGCCAGCCAGCATGAGTCAATAATTGCGGTCTGAGCTTTAACCTACCAAAGAAAGAAAAAAAAAAATAGAAAAAGAAACCCCCCTTAATGCCGCACCTGAACCGTGACCCTTAACCTCCTTAAACCCTTTAGCCCCCTTAACCCTTAACCCTTGGCCCTTAACTACTGATGGGGTTTCATTGTCGCTGCGGTCGCGACATGCTGAGCCTCGAAATTGATAATTAACACGACGCGCTGACAGGTGAAAAGTCCTGTGGCAAGGACATGTTGCATTTACATTTTTGCAACAAATATCCATTTTGTTGACAGTTGGCTTTCTTTTATTCAACGAACAGCGGCTGACTGACTGACTGCCTGACTGGCTGGTTGCCATGGCGTATTTATAATTACCAAATGGCCAACAATGGCCCAAAAGGAAGGAGTTAGGTTGGACAGCCCAGTAAAGTAAAGTACGGAGAAAAAAGCAGCAGAAAAAAACGGGGGAAAAAAAGCCAGAACAATACGTAATTAACGCAGCTCTTTGCGATGTGTCTGTATCTGTATCTCCAGATGTATCTGTATCTGTATCTGTAAATGTATCTGTATCTGTATCTGTATCTGTATCTATATATACAATACACATCTGTGGATCTGTGACTTGTCAGTTGGCATTGTCGGGAATCAAACAACTTTTTTTTTCTCGCCGTATTGTCAGTGACTTTTGTTGTTTCGCTGTTCGTGTCAAAAAGCGCAAAAGTTCAAGGGTTAAACGTGGCGTACATATGTGTAGCTGGTAACTTCTTCTATCCCTTGACTCGGCTCCCTCTCTATCTCGCTGATATTCCAAGTTTTTAAGGCCAATTTGATGTTGTGAGTCAATCGCTTTTCAGCTGACACGCGACCTTCAGTTTACCTATATGCTGACCTCTCTGGACAACAATAATAATAATAGAAAGAAATAAAAACAAAACAATGGCCAGCACTTTCATGACGAAGGAATTCTTGTACTTATATTTTGTATTTCATATTTTTTTTTGTTTTTTGTTCTTTGCAAAATTTCCCTTGTTTTTGTTTTTTTTGGTCGCCTTTTGTGCGTGTGTCAAGTCCAGTGCGATGTCCTTTGTCCAGTCAAGTGGCCTTTCACCCCCTTTGGCATTCCTTAGCTGTTTTTGAGGCATTCAAATTACCCTCGAGGGCAGCTTCCGAGCTTTTAGAGTGAGCTCCGGATCTCTGGCTCCGGCTTTATTGTCCTGCCTGGTTACCCTCCTTAACCGTTGCCATATTCCTACTTTGTTTTTGCTATGTTTTTTGTATTGCTGTCTTTGGCTTTTCATCATCATTTGCATTGAAATGTCAAAGTCAAAGGCCAAAATGACAGAGAGAGAGAGAGAGTGGGCTCGATTGTCGCGCTGTCCGAGTGTCCTTTTTCGTCCTGCTGCCATTGCCACTGCAGTTTATCAGCATTGAGAGCTTCGCTTTGAAGTCCACAGTCCGCTGTCCGCAGTCCGCAGCCTGCAGTCCATATTCCGTATGTCCGTAAGTCCACAGTTCACAGCCCGCAGTGTCCGCGCTTTTTTCCCCGTATTATGATTTTTGTGTACTTTTTTCTTAGCTCCCCCTTCCCCCACCGCCCGCCTCTCCCGAAGATGAACCAGGGGTTTGATTTTACTCTTTTTGTTTTTGATTTAATGCAGCTGCAGCTTATCGGCGAGCTGCCCGCGGCCCGATCATAACATCAAACACATTTTTTATTCAACGCTGGCTGCTTTGGTGGGAATTTTAATTTTGCCACCCAAATATGCGCCATGTTATTTGGGCAGAATGGGCCAGGATGGATGGACGGACTCACCTGTGTGGACTGTATTGGCCTCGGCATCGACCAGCTCCATTTTGGGCCGCTTGGCCAGTGACCTCTCCTCCTCGTGCTCCTCCTCATCATCATCATCATCCTGACGATGATGGTGATTTACACCTTCCTCCTCGTAGGGCTCTTGCTTAACCTTGGCCTGCTGATCCTCCCGCTGATCCTGCTCCTCCATTTCACAGCTACTGTCGCCCGAGGATTGGCGCTCAATGGCAGCCGGGCTGGAGGGGGCGGCATTTGAATCGAGGGTGGTGGCGCCCGTCTCACTGTCCTTGGGCGTGGTATTGTCGTTTTCTAACAGGGTAGAGGAGGGCGATCAAGGAGTTTGGTTATTAGTACACAGAGGAAAAAGTTGGGTCGGTCATTTTATTACTAAAACGAAAAACTAAAAAGCCAGAAAACTTACCATCTACTAAACGCTTCGGCGTACTGCTGGCTCCGTCGGCCAAAAGGTCCGCCGGACTCGGTGGTGGTGTGTGTATCCTCGAACCGCTAGCCGTGCTACTGGCTGCTGCCGCCGCCGCCGCTGCTGCTGCTGCCGCTGCTGCTGCAACGGCTGCTGCTGCTGCTGACGCTGGTGCAGATTTGCGACCGGAAATTGGGGCGGAGATCGAGGGGCGGCGATTGACAAGGCTAAGCGGACGTCCTTCCTCCGCATCGCGATCCATTTGTGGATTCTGAGTGGCACACTGACCATAGTTCTCCTTGTTGCACTGCAGCACCTTGTGCTGGATGAACTTGACAATGTCCGATAGGGCGAACGCCTTCTGGCAGGCGCCGCACGTGAGGATGTCCTGTGTGGCCACGGCATCGTTCTCTGTGGAGTCGGAATCTGAAAGAATGATAAAGAAAGTTAGTTAGTTAGAGCTCAGTTCGGTTCATAAATATTCTCCATTCCCAAGGCTTATTTAAGACCTTGTTTTATGGGCATACCAAAGGCGTGTTGGGCTTCATTAATTGTTCTCAGTGCAAGTGAAAATCCCTCCCCTCCCCTCTGCTATTTACATATGGCCAGATAAACAAATATATAGAGTGAGATGGCAGAGAGAGAGGAGTGAGTCTCATGCCGCGAATGCCAATCTCTGTGCACTTTAATTTATTTGCCGAAATGCCGGGGAATACAATAACAACAGCAATAATAAAAATAGCCCAACAACCGCCAGTATTTGCATATATGGGTGGGTGTGGTGATGGTAAAGGAGATTCCCCCCCAAGCTCAGAATTCAGGATTTTCGCTTTTGGTTTTTGGTTTTTCGGTGGTGGATTGATTGTGTGTGCATGACCATAAATTCCAGTAGCTCGGCAATTAATTCAAGAGCTTTTTGCCATACATACCGAGTATAGTATCTGCGGTTGTCATGGCTTATCTGGCCCAGAAAATTAGCAACACCAGTGGAAATATGGAGCAGAGGAACAGAACAGAAGAACCGAACGAAACTTAAGCGCCCCGAAGGCAGTAGAACTTTTGTTTTCGATTCCATCGACAGGACTTGATTGACCAGAATGGTTTTTCCTCAGTTCAGGGAGGGCGAAGGCGGGGGTTTAAGATATAGAACAAGGGGAGGACTCTTTTTGTAGCCGCAGGAGACTCGGGGGGAAGAGAAAAAAAGTTGAAATCGAAAATGCAAAAGTTTTCGGTCAAGCGAAACTTCTTTGTCATTCGTTTTTTTTCTTTTATTTCTTTCACATCGCTGCCTTTCTAAAACTAAAATCACATATTTATATCACCACCTTCTTTAGGGTTCTAAAAACTATAATCACTAGACGTTATAGACCTTATTTTTTATCCCTCTGACTTTAATCGAAGACATCATCCTCAATTACAGGACATCTCCCCAAACACACACACACACCCAAACCCATGGTTGTCAATTAGGAAATAGATCTATGAATTATTGACTCCCTGTCGCTTTGCCACTTGTCTTCTATTCTCGTATACATTCGTTTTTTATGTCCATTCCGGGGGCAGTTGAAGCAATTTGCGGCTTGCCCGGGTCCAAACAATAACTAATGCGCCCTAAGCGGGGATATTTCGCCCGCCCTTCCAATTGTCCTGCTCCTGCCAGGAGCTATGCTTTTTTTTTATCAATTGATTGTCCTGCAAGGATGAGGGTGATATATTTATACACACACACATACGATGTCGTCTGTAATTTCTGCTGATTGCCTGGGTGGGCTATGCCCAATTTTCGCTTCATTTTTTTGCTGTTTTCCCTCCCAAAAAAAAAATATGTTTTTTCCTCTACGAGTTGATCTTTTTCCGGACATTTTCCGGCTGATTATTAGTGTTTTATTTATTGATTGGTCGGTCATGCCATTGGCCAGACCCAAAAAAAAAACGAAAACGAAAACGAAGAGCAGGTAAAGCCAAGTAAAGGTGAGCTGCTTTCTGGTACCTGCTGTCTTCTGTCTTGCTTAAAACCATAAATAGGGGGCGTGGTTGAGCTGGTAAAATGGCCGGGGGCGTTGCCCGATGATATTTGACTAACCGATTAGATTAAATGTTTGCTTAGAGATTAGCAAAAGATAGCAGACTGACTGCAAGTTATGCTTATTTATTAACGAAAAAATAAAGGAGAAACTTATTGACAGCATGCACAATATTGCGCCAGATGAAGAGGGTTAATACTATCGAAGGGGTAAGAAGGTTAAGGTAGCAGGCAGGCAGGCAGGGAGAAAGGTGAAAGGGTGTGAAAGGTTGGCTGTCAAATGTGTCAGTTCGCCTGACAAGTGTCAACAAAGTCCTTGCCAAATAGATTTCATAAAAGTGCCAGCTTATCGAGACCGAAAAGTCATAAATTGCATTAACCCTTTCGGGAGTGACCAAATCGAATGCGATTTAGTTAGCTCAGATAGTCAATATATATAGTAAGAGAGAGAGAGAGAGAGAGAAAGTGAGAGAGAGAGAGGACATTTACTGCCTTTATTCCAAGATTTTGATTTCCTTTTGGCCACATTTCCATACAATTAGCCCATAATTCTCTATGCATTTCGCCATGCCCTGATTAAGTGCTACATTGCCTGGCCTGCCTTTAGAGAAATCTGAATTTATTGGCCTGTGTGATGTCATTGGTATCTCCCACTACCTCCCCCTCCCCCTTTCATATATGCGTAATTAATTCAGACATTTTCCACCCCAGGAATATAATAAATTGAAGTGCGTCGATTTGTTAAACGCGCAGCTTAAGTCAAATATTTACGAGCTGCGACTTTGGCCTAAAGCACTCCTGGCCATTTAATGCATGCCTGCGGCTATTAATATCCCCCCCGAAAGGAAGACAGACTCCCATATGTATATATCTTTTAGGAGGGGGGGCGGTGGGTTAGCCAAGTAGGACAATTAAGAATTAACATATTAATAGAAGTTTTGCGCAAATTATCAGGACAAGAAAATATGAAATTCGTTTGGCTCCTTGTATTTTTGTTATTTATAACGTTCTTGTGTTATTGACTGCCCAGGGTTTGAGATGGGGGCGTGTGGCGTGTGGCAGGCCGAAAACAATACGTTGATTGTGCTAATTTATGCCCCCCCTATACATGGCTGGAACACACACACAAATACACATACACATACACCAGAAGTACCACCAAAGAGTCGAAGGATTCGAAGGATTCGGTTTTATGGCCCAAAGGTTATGGGTGGCTGCTCTATCTTTGGGGTTGCCATAAAAACCAGGCAGAGAGCGCCACATGGTCGTCGTCCGCGTCGACTGTTTTTAGGTGCTCGCAGCTTTGCCGAACGAAGGACGTAGAACACCGATGAAAAATGGCGTCAGCCACGAAAAACTGGACCAACTATCGTTTTGGGAAAGTATGAAAAAAGAATGTTAAGACCTCTCTTAGGCCTCTTTAAGGCCTCCCACAATTGGTTTACAATTTTAAAGAGGAAAAACTAACTAACTAATCCAATAACTTTTATTAACTTTCCTTTCAATATTTCCCTTCAAATCGTAACCCTAAGACAGCTGGTATGGCTATCCAATATCGAATTATAATGACTCCAAGTGCTCCACTTCGTTGACGGGTGGTTAAATAAAAAACAGAGTAGAAATAATAATAATAATAACGAACGCCCCGAAAATGCTGAGTAAATATTTAAAGACAACACCGAACGCGCCGAACTCTTTTTTTCTCTTCGACTTGTTGTTGCTTTTTTTTTGGCCAACTCATTTAAAAGTTTAACAACGGAAAAAAAAAGGGTTAAGCAAATTCGAAATTCTTTTTGTGGCAGGCGATAACAGTCAACGTGGGCGTACTACTAGTAGTAGTAGTAAATATATATAAAGGTTGTGTCCAACAGGCGGTTTTTTTCTGTTTTTTTTTGGCTGACAGTGACAAAGCGACGTCAGCAGCTGAAAAACTGAAAATCAACTTGGAGTCAAGCGGCCCCCGGACTTAATTTGTTTAAACAAATTACGTGTGGATAACACAGCGATACGGATACATGGAAAGGTGTTTAGCAGCTGAAACTATAACAAACAGAGCGGTATGCTTAAATATATATATCACCCATATATATATATATATATATGGGTGATATAGTGTATGTAGCAATGCCTGGAATCACAATGATTTCTGTTGTGCGGGGGCGCAACAATGCGAGTATCGAAGCCCCGAACGAAGCCTTATCACTCCGCTCCGCTTTGGCCTTTGCAAAGTGTTTTAGCATACAAAATTTGGTTTTATTTGCCTCTGCCTAATGTCACCCAATAGAGCTCGTTTTCTGGTGGTTTCTGATGGTTCCAGGGATTCATGAGTTCCCGGGGGGTTTTTTAGGGGCGAACAACAACAACAAAAAAGAAGAAGCGAAGAGTTAGCCAAAAGCTAGCGCTGACTGCTGATAACACCCGCATATGGCGGCAAGGTAAGCGACTGGATATCTGGACAAACAAATGAGCAAACAAATGGAACCCCCGACCGTAAACCAGAGACCAGAGACCACAGACCAGAGACCAGAGAGACCACAGACCCGTAGACGGACGATACGTACCCACAGTTACCCCCGCCGCCAGGTTGAGTGAATGAGCCATATGCAAATATGGCCACGGCCTGAAATCGGGCATTAACATATAGTCCACGTGTGCGTTTGTCTGTGTGTTAAAGCTGGACACACATGGCGACTGATAAGCCAAAAGGAAATGGGCACAAGGTATGAAAACATTAACAGCAACAGCAACAAGAAGAACATTCAACCAGCAATTAATAATTATAGTCAGATGGAAACATAAATATCTTTTAGTTAAGAAGGTTTGACTTAACTTTTGCTATAAGTTAAGACTTTTCCTAGAACTTTATTTCAAAAAACTGAAAGCCTCATTAAGGTAGTACTAATAACTATGATTAATCTGTAACTTGTAACTTGACATCCACCTATCTAGAACATTTAATTAGAAGTTTAAGTTCCGGCTAGTCGAATTGGCCTTTTGAAGTTGTGCGTTGTTTGAACATCCGTTTGTAATCGAAATGTAAGTTTAAGGTGGACCCGATGGGCAAAAGACCCGCTCTGTTTGCTTAGAGCCAATGAAATGTTACCATTGTTGTTCTCTGTTCTCTCGGTTCTTTTGATAAGACCTAGACTCTCGTGTGTTGGCTTGTAAGTTTTACTTTTCATTTTCAGGTCGTTGTTTTCCTCTGGCCTGTTGTTTTTGTCTTTTTGTCGCTAAAATATTTATATTTGTATTGTGAGCAAGGTGCAGAGAGGCGATATATATATATAGAGAGAAGTTTGTTTTATTTCCCGAAAGTCAACGACAGCCACGACGGACATATGTAAATATAGCTGCGATCCATATAGGTAGGTAAGTAGGTTGCCCCCGCCCCCCTCTTATACCT